TCCAAACAGCTGATAAAAACATCACAATAATCCACAAGTAATCCACACCACTCCAGTCCATCAGTTAATGTCTTAAATAATTAATTTAATAATAATTAAATAATTTATGCATTTAGCAGACGCTTTTATCCAAAGCATTCAGGCTATACATTTTTTACCACTGTGTCTTGTGAAGCGAAAAGCTGTGTGTTTGTAAGAAACAAATCCATCAAGACGTTTTTTTAATTTCAAATCGTTGCTTCCAGCTAAAATGAGAGTCCATATTATTGCTTTCACAAGTGAAATAGTTGTCTGGTATGAATCAGGAGAGAAATCTGCACAGATCAAGCACCGTTTACAAGTGAAAACAGTCCAAAACAGCTCTAAACAAATATGTTGGTGGATTTTGATGTGAGAGACAGCAGCGGATGGACTTTTCACTGGAGGAAGCATCATTATGGACTTTTTTGGCCAGAAACAACATTTTAAAGCTAAAACGTCTAAATTATGTTTTCTACAAGCGTGCAGCTTTTCACTTCGCAATGCATTAAGTGATGGACTGGAGTGGTGTGGATTACTTGTGGATTATTGTGATGTTTTTATCAGCTGCTTGGACTCTCATTCTGACGGCACCCATTCACTGCAGAGGATCCACTGGTGAGCAAGTAATGGAATGCTACATTTCTCCAAATGTGTTCCCATGAATAAACAAACTCAACTATATCTTGGATGGCCTGAGGGTGAGTCAGTTTTCAGCAAATGTTCATTTTTGGGTGAACTGTTACAAACTTTAATAAAAGCATTGCATTATTAGCACCTGATATGTTATACCTGTTATATCCTGCACTAGCAGGTGGTCCCGACTGCACTGGTGAAGATCCGGTGCGGTTGCACTCTCGCTGAAGCACGGCATCATTTGGATTGTCATCCTGTGATTCGAGATGCAGTGAGCACCTGCTTCAGTTCCTCCAAGAACAAAAGCACTGTGGACCAAACACACAACAACTTCATGCAGTCTCACAATGAAGGGGCATTTTTAAGATAAAGTGTTTCAGGCTGTGTTGCTTGGCTACTAATCAGTGACTACAAATTCTCATTATACTCTGTATGCATGCTGTGGCCTTTTGGTGTTGTTGAAATAAACCCAACTGTATGACATCAGGGGAATTCTGATCATTTTTCGCACAAGACTTCCTTGACCTACTAACAGTAACTAGTGGGAACCTGTCTGGCTGCAGTGAGCTGGTAGTAAAGTGCGCTAGTCATGCCATTGTACCATTATTCTGCTGGAGTGCACAGGGCATGAGCAGATATGACTGGTAAACATGGGAAATTCTGCGTGCACCTGTAAACGTTGCTGTCCGTGTTGCCCACTGAAGAATGAAGAGCGGCCCCTCAGCCGCAAAAGAGTCTTCAAGTCGATCTACGACTATCCCTCACGCACAATATGGGATCTAAATCTGAAGAAAGGAGATATTCTGGAGGTGACAGGAGAGAATGAGCACTGGTTGTATGTGAGGAGACGCACAGCTAAGGGTAACGGATCTAAGGGCTTTGTGGAGGAAAAGGGATATGTGCCTAAAGACTTCATCAAACCGCTGGAGAGCATAGAGGCCGAGCCGTAAGTCCTTGAGTTACTTTTGATCACTTTGAGCTTGTGCGAATGTATAATATATAGAGCAACCTCACGCTTAGTGTTTTGAATCTCTGCCCTGAACGAAACTGGAATCCTGTGTTTCCAGTTTCACAAGTTCTGGTGAAGTTCCTACAGTGCTGTGTTTTCTGTAGAAAAGACTATTGAGAATAATTAGAGAGATAGGGTTTGGACGCTAAGATATAGCAAGGTGAATCTGTCAAGAGACAAGTGTAAGATATCCAAAAAAGCAAATGAATAATTTTAGGAATCATTAAGTTTTTTTTTCTAAGCTTGTTAATTAAAATTAAATTAAATACATTAAATTTTTTTTTTTCATTTGTTGTGACATTATTTTCTTAACAATTAAGCATTTTCCTCCATATTTTGAATAATGTAATGTTAAAAAATAATATTAATAATTTTCCCATCCTGTCCAGACACAACAATTTTAACAAATCAGTGTTACAGTGACTTATACTTACAATTATAATGATTACTTATTAAATTGAAACACACACACACACACATATGTGTGTGTGTGTGCATTCAGAATGAATGTACTGTTTGTTTGTTTATTTATTTATTTTTATTTTTTATTTGTTACGGTGAAATACGACCCAAACCTTATTTTTTTTCTGAGATTAACCCATTAAATTGTTTACTTTATTGTTTATAATAAAATCAGCATAAATATTACAATGAAGTACATTTATGATTATACTTTACAAATGTACAAATTTATTAATAAATAAAAACAAAAAAAATATTATTCAATTATATTTTATATTATGATATTAAATATACTATGTGAATTTTTTTTTCTATGAGATTCACCCATTAAAATAATTTACTTTATTGTCAATTTAATCTGTCATACAATGTACCACCACATACTATATTGGACACAAATAAAAATACACTTACTTAAAAAAAACGTATCAACTGATTTTCAGATGGTATTTTGAGAGTGTTAAAACACGTATAGAGGCCAAGAGATGTCTGCTGAGACCAGAGAACAAAGAGGGTGCGTTTCTCATCTGGAAGTGTGAGGAGAATAATCAATGTTACTTATCAGGTATGACAAGTGTGATTCACACACACATAATATCTCAAGCCTCTGCCACTTTCATCTAACTGTACACTGTAAAAAATGACCGTGAATTTAACGGTAAAAGACTGTAAAAATGCTACAGAAAAAACCTGTTAAATGGTTAACGGTAAATTCCCCTACTATATACGGTGAAAAACTGTATTGGACATTACATGTATTGGACATTAATTTTACGGTAGTATACCGTTTTTGGAAGTGAAAAAGACGTATAATTTATAGTGAATAACCGTAATGTGAATGACACTGTGCACCTTCTATATATGTTATTATTTAAAAGCTGCTTGTGATGGGCTTTGGTTCATCATGTGACTTTCTCATTCCCACCTGCATTGGGTGGTTATCAGTGTATTACAAATGTACAAAACAGATTTCAGTACTTCAATAGGTTGGTATATTAACATTATATCAGTTAATGAAATTACGGTATTTAACTGTAAATTTAAGTTAAAACCGTAAAACCTAAAACGTTGCTACCGTATTTTTTACGGTAAAATTCCGGCAACCACAGCTGCTGTTTTTTTACCTTAAATTTTACGGATTTTTTTTTTTTACAGTGTACTGAACCCAATAGAAAAGAGATCAAGTAACAATAAACCAACCTTAATCTTAACTTGGAGAGTAGGTGAGTAACATTTTCTACAAATGATTTCTTTTAAAGTGAGGAACGGCCTTCATGCACGGCATTACAGGGTCAAGCAGGGAGAAAACGAGAAGCACTTCTTCCTTGTTCATCACACAACCTTCCAGAGCTTGCGTGAGCTGATAGAGTTTTACTCTAAAAACGAGGGCGGACTCTGCGCGAAGCTTCACGAACCCTGTGTGAAGGTCAGTGAAGAGTTCAAACCTACAGGTTAATGAAAGTACTGCAGCATCCTATAAAAAAAGTTGTCCAGCATAATTCCAATCTGTCCATACTCTTCTAGCTGGACCAGCCAGCTCCTCTGACTCTGTCATTTGAAACCAAATGGGAGGTAGAGAGAAGCTCACTTACCAAAATAAAGAAGCTGGGCAGCGGGGAGTTTGCGGAGGTCTGGCAGGGGCTCTGGAACAACACCACAGAGGTGGCCATCAAAGAGTTCAGAGGTAAAACAGGTTAAATCAGTGGTTCTCAACTGGTTTTACTTCACGTTTACACTTAATACTGAGTGGCGACCCAAATGCAGAATAAATGTCTTAAATTAAGAAGTTACTTTCATTAATATTGGCATAAACATGTTATATTATGTTTTGAGAACATTAGTAAAGACCAGATAAATTTGAACAAAAGTTATATTAACATTACTGGAAGAATGTTTGTTTTTAACAGTTTTTAACCTTGCCAGAACCTTAGCCAAAGTATGATTATCTAGGTAGGTCCATCTCAAATTATTTTACTTTTAAAATTATGATAAATTGATATTATCTGTCCCACTTTACTTGCAGATGTCAACTATTCAAATATCAAAACAGAGATTGATATCATGAAAGAGCTGCATCACGAGCGTTTGCTGAAGCTCTACGCTGTGTGTACCAATAGTCAACCCATGTGTTTAGTCACAGAGCTCATGAAAAATGGCAGTTTAAAGAAATTTCTCATCAGTAAGTGAAGTAATATTAACTTGCATGCAATGAAAAACATTTTAGATAGCCATAATCTTAACTGACATATTGCTTTGACAGGAAAGTGCTGTTTAAGAAATAAGTTTGCTTTTCTTCAGGCCACAAAGAGAAACAAGACCTGGAGTTTTCACTCATGATGGATTTTGCTGTGCAGGTAACTTGATTTCTTTGTGAGTAATTCAGTTGTCTGGAATGTGATCAAAATCATACGACCAGTTTTTCTTAAAAACAATTAAACTCAACATGAAACTCCCATAATCAATAATACTCCGCATTATAATAACAATAATAAAATCAATGGGGGGAAACTGTAGGGCAGGATTTTTACCATTATGATGGTGAAAGGTGTCTCTATATGACCCCTTTTATGAAAAAATAAGAGTGACTGGAAAAGTATTTTCTGAAAATTTCAAAGCAGGGCTGTTTTTATAGAACGTTAAAAATATAAATATTTTTTCTTTAAAATAACATGCACTGATGAATCATTATAACCAATATCAATGCACTATCTCTAAGTAAGCAATTCATACACTGATTTCTCTGAAAAGGCTCATTTTATTGCTCTGTTAGTTTAAGCGGCCTGACACAGCAACATTGACTTTAACGATAGGGAGACAGGTGGCGTGTTCATTATTTAAATATCAAAACAGAGATTGATATCATGAAAGAGCTGCATCACGAGCGTTTGCTGAAGCTCTACGCTGTGTGTACCAATAGTCAACCCATGTGTTTAGTCACAGAGCTCATGAAAAATGGCAGTTTAAAGAAATTTCTCATCAGTAAGTGAAGTAATATTAACTTGCATGCAATGAAAAACATTTTAGATAGCCATAATCTTAACTGACATATTGCTTTGACAGGAAAGTGCTGTTTAAGAAATAAGTTTGCTTTTCTTCAGGCCACAAAGAGAAACAAGACCTGGAGTTTTCACTCATGATGGATTTTGCTGTGCAGGTAACTTGATTTCTTTGTGAGTAATTCAGTTGTCTGGAATGTGATCAAAATCATACGACCAGTTTTTCTTAAAAACAATTAAACTCAACATGAAACTCCCATAATCAATAATACTCCGCATTATAATAACAATAATAAAATCAATGGGGGGAAACTGTAGGGCAGGATTTTTACCATTATGATGGTGAAAGGTGTCTCTATATGACCCCTTTTATGAAAAAATAAGAGTGACTGGAAAAGTATTTTCTGAAAATTTCAAAGCAGGGCTGTTTTTATAGAACGTTAAAAATATAAATATTTTTTCTTTAAAATAACATGCACTGATGAATCATTATAACCAATATCAATGCACTATCTCTAAGTAAGCAATTCATACACTGATTTCTCTGAAAAGGCTCATTTTATTGCTCTGTTAGTTTAAGCGGCCTGACACAGCAACATTGACTTTAACGATAGGGAGACAGGTGGCGTGTTCATTATTTTTGCAATTCCATTCGGTGCTGCTTTCATGCAAGACCAGCTGCTTCTCAATATTCAAAATGATGCTTCCTCATTTCCTCGCTCCGCCGTCCTCCAGCCCATGACCTGAAATGGATCATCATGAAGGACATATCAATGCTCCAAATGCACTTGAGGAAACCCTCTATGTGGTGTTAAAACACCTTACAGATGCATAAAACTCCTCATTCACATCCGGCACAACAGTTAGGTTTATGTGCTATTTAAATAAAACATTTTATATACTTAAAGCAGTGCATCTTGCGTTGTTTACACTGATTTAGGGATCACACTGTCCAATCAAAAAACATTTTCATTTTCATAGGAACGTTTGGGCTGTGAGTGTGTGCAGTTCACATTGTAGAACAAAACGTAAAAGTATCGTCAGGTTATGTTAACCACAAACTTTATTTTATTCATAAATTGAAAAACCTTATTATTAAAACCCCATAGGTAAATCTTAAAGGAGCCCGAGGCGAATTACACTTCCTGGTTTGACGTCACTCTATTACTTGAATTATTTAAATGACATCACATGTTTTCATTTCAAAATGGTGAAATTTGACAACAAAATCGAGTAGTTTTTATCACTTTATATTACTGTTGGTCATTTAACATTATTATCGTAAAACATTTGTCAAATGTTTACCATTTAGTTACTTACATCTTACCTCTGTTAAAAATGGGACCGCCGCTGCCGCGCTGGAATTCACGCTTGGAACAGTAAAGCCCTGCCTCTTTGATTTGATTGGCCATCTCAATCATTTTGACATTAGCTATGTATCCATCCACCTATTTTTATGCGCATATTTCTGGAATATTGCATAAAAAACGCTGGATGGAAACGGCAAGACGTACATAAATTCTAAAAATGCGCATAAAAAAACGTATGTGCACAATTGAGTAGGTAGATTGCACAAACTTTTTATCCAATAAGAAAAAATGTGCATGAACTACGATGTAAACACATTTATCGAATAAATTCCACCATGCACATCAAAAAAGTCATGTGACTTTGCATGATGGGATGGGATAACTTGACTAACCAGAGGGCCGATCTCATTGCACAGCATCTGAAATGTTGTTTTGGTCCTTCTGAAATGCCTGAGCAAAGTCTGTCATCAAAGTAGGCCATTTCTGAATAATTGTCTTACACGTCTGCGCTCCCAAACAGCCTCTGAAAGCAATGATCGCATTTATTGTGTTTCGTCTGCTCTCTCTGAGGCGCAAGTCATTTATAATATATGAAAATTTTTATATTCAGTGCTTCTCCTACTTAGTGCCAGTTTATTAGGAAGTGACGATTTTGTTCTCTTTGACTCGTTGGATGCAAACGGTGCTTAATTCGCAAATGTTTTATGCGATATTCCAATTTTACGCATAAGTAAAATTTGCATCTTTGCATGGAAACAAAGCTATTGATGAGTCAGAAATGCTTAAAAATACAACATTTTCCACTCTAGTAGTTACGGCCCTTTGCTAAACTAAATTTCATACTGGATTTTTTTTTTTTTTTTTTAGATTACAGAAGGAATGATGTACATTGAGAATAAAATAGTTCACCGCGATCTGAGAGCCGAGAACATTCTACTTACCGACATGCAATGCTGCAAAATAGCCGATTTTGGACTCGCTGAAATTAATCTCGCTGGAAGCCACAGAATTTCATCAGGTGAGATAGGCTCTTTGAAATGTTCGTGCAAACATATAAGACACACAAAGTACATGACAGTTCTCATCTATCTGCAGATATAAAGGTCCCAGTGAAATGGATGGCCCCTGAGATATTTGACAACAAGGCTTACACAAGCAAGAGCGACGTCTGGTCTTTCGGCATCCTTTTAACTGAAATCGTGACGTATGGAGATGACCCATACCCTGGTAAATACATTTCACCACCCTAAACATGACACATGTGGGTGTAGGATTGCATCTCACCCAACTCTGGTGCATTTGTTTCTTCCACAATCTCAGGTATGGACAAAATGACATGCGTTCGGTCCATTCAGGGAGGAGAGCGGATGGAGAGACCGGCTGGCTGTCCCGAAGCACTCTATGACATTATGCTGCTGTGCTGGAGGTCAAACCCTGAGGAGAGACCAACATTTACGGAGCTACGGGAGAAGCTGATGGCTCTCATAAATGAGCCTGATTCTGAACTGGAGTAGATACTGTAGAAATGAGAGTACTGGGATGCTTTTGAGCTTAGATTATACATATCCAACACATATACGATCACTTATAGTTTACAGAGGTAACAGGACATATCTACTGAAATTAATGCAATATGGGTGATTGGTATTACTTCAAGTTTCTTAGTTTCCAAAAAGCTGTTTAATATTCCCTGGTAAGCAGGAAATATTCCATTGTTGACTGACATTTTTTGTGATCAAAGCTGCTGAACTATGTTTTAAGAGCCCTAAATACTTGTCTTAGAAAAAACAAACTCAAATTCTTTACATTATCTTTACAGTAAATGTCAATTTTTACTATGAATTATACATGATTAAATAATTAGAATTCTTTAATATTTTTGAAATTACTCACCTATGCTCACCAAGGCTGCATTTATTAGATTAAAATTACAGTAAAAACAGTAATATTGTGAAATATTTTTACAATTTAAAAGAACCATTTTCTGTTTTAATATATTCTACAATATAATTTATTCCTGTGATGCAAAGCTGAAGTTTGAGCATAATTACTCCAGTCTTCAGTGTCATATGATCCTCCAGAAATCATCCTAATATGCTGAAAATTCAGCTTCCCCATCACAGGAATAAATTACATTTTAAAATATATTAAAATAGAGAACATTAAATAGTAAAAAAAAAATGGTGTTCACTGTATTTTTGATCAAATAAATGCAGCCTTGGTGAGCATAAGAAACTAATTCTAAAACATTTAAGAAATCTTAATTATTTCAAACTTTTGTTAGGTAGTAAACTGTAAGAATGACACTGTAATGGATGTCAACCCTTCTCTGGCCCATGGCTTCAAAAGCACAGCACAAGGGGGAGTTACACTGGAAGTAAAAGGGATAAATGCATAATTTTATTAAAACTAGCATAGGCTATGTAAGATTAATGGTTTTCTGTACATATGCTGTAAAGTCCGGGCTTGTGTGACCATATATGCATCCTGCTGAACTACATTTACACACCATTGACTAATAGCTGTGCTAGATTAATGACTGATGCAAGCCAACCTCAATCCTCTCACCCTGCTAAAGATACTCCCAATGCAAAGGCAATGAGATTAGAATGACGCAAGAACTATTCAAGCTGCTGGACTCAAACTCTGCTACAATTATTCATGCTTAAGTGACTATATCACTGAATACATGAAGGACAAATAACAAAAAACATGTTTAACAAAGATCACTATAATATGGAAGAAGGGGGAAAAAGTTAGTGGTGCTTACCTGTGCAAAGAGCACTTGTAAATTATCAGCAAAAATCTGAAAGTCTGATTTGTGGAAACATACTGTACACAAATACATAGATGCAAACAATTTAAGCCACACAAAGGACTGCATCCAAAAATATGCCACAACTCTTTCAGGTTAAAAATGGCAACGATACAAAGAGAAACTTGCTGAGCAAGTCACTGCAACTGTTGGTGTGAATATAGTCAGATACCTGAAACAACAATCTTCTGTTATGAAAACAACAAGTGACATTGTCAGAGTTGAGCATTTATTACTGTAAATGTTACAGTACAATAGCAACATACAACAATCAAGGATGGTTTAAATACCACACATGGTGAGATCTTGTATGATGTAAAATGTGGCATCAAGCACCACTAGCAGCATCATAAAATCTTGCAACTTCATAAATAAATAAAACATAGTTAAGTGAGTCATTTTGAAATATAGAGTCATGGCAAAAAGTTGCTGCTAAACTGAGCATTTGAGTAATACCTCTTTCTTACATCATATCAGCAATTATATATTTAGAAATATAATTGTGCCATTTAGCATATAAACTAGAAGTAATGCAATGCTAAACTTGGTTAAGTTTTGGGCAAACAATGCATGTATATTAGAATACTTGTAACATTCAGAACCCTGAGAATTCAGTGTTTATCGATAAAATGTACACGATTGTGTGTATTTACAGTATTTCACTGAGTATATGAATCCATGAGTAAAATATTTGTTGATTAAAGTTTTAAAGGGGTCCTATTATGCTCTTTTACAAAGTCTTGATTTTGTTTTGGGGGTGTACTAGAACAGGCTCTCATACTAGGTTGTTCGAAAAACACATGGTCATCTGCCTTGGGAAAGCTAGCGTGTCTCCGACATAGTGATAACAATCGTTGCCTTCTCTAGTGCAGCTCAACCAGGTCTCGTCCCATCCGTCGGTATTTGTGATATCACAAATCCAAATCCCGGAAAATATGCGGTGTAGTCCAAACGAGTCGTTCATTGTAGTTTTTGAAAAGTAATTTCTATTAAATAAAATATCTCCTTTTGAAGTGGACTTTAAGCTTTGTAACTTTGCAGATCTGTTTTATGCTCAAACAGCAACATTACAGACTAACTAAAGTTGAAAAAGTGAAAAAGCATAATAGGACCCCTTTAACAGACTCAATAAAATAATACCTTGACTACATGGAAATATACAGAATCGTACAATATACAGTTTTGAAATATCTTAAAAGTTTCTATTTAGCTCTTTAGATGTCTTTGAAGTGAGATTAATCATCTCACATCATCATTAACCAAGTCCCATCTAAAGTAACATTAGTAATAAAGTGCTTTATATGTGGGAATATCAAATGATTACAATTCTTCATTGTTCACCATAACATCATTGTCCTTTCTTTTGTTTACTGGCCCTGTTGTTTATTTTAGGAGACACCTGCCATTCAGTCAAGCCATTGCACATGTCCTTTTTGTTTCCATGTGGCTCTTTGTACACTGGTTGTTTAGTAATTACAACCATGCTATCTCCTTGACTTTCAACACTCTCCATGAAACTCTGAAGATCTTTCAGTTTAGCTGTCTGATTCATGCAGTTCTCCACGGATCCTGGTTGAGACTCCACCGACGTTCTCGTAACCTGTATCGCTACCTGTATTGTGCTCTCCCAGTTGTCAACAGCAGCTTCATCAGATTTTTCTTTCTCAAAATCTTCCTCAACAGAGCTACATTTGTTCATTTCATGATATTTCATGACCTCCTTGGAGTTTTCTTCAGGCCGGTCCTCGTCCTGTCCTGTGTCTGATGTCCCACCTTCATTGGCATCATTCTTTGCAGATCCATCCTGGTTCCCATCAGCATTCTTCTCACTGGTGGACTCGTCATTTGGAGTTTCATCTGACGTTTCACCTTCAATAGGTGTATTGTCTTTATTTGAATTAGATTCACCTCCATCTTCTGCAGACTTGTCTTCTGTACTCTCTTTCCCAGTCTCAGTTTCTGCTTCCCTGTCATCCGATTCGATTTCCTCACCAGTTTCTGTCATCTCATCCTCTTTTTCCGCCTCCACAGCCGTATCACTATTTTCTGCATTTGCTGCATCTCCCTTGGGACTGTCTTTCTTCTCGCAGTCCTCTTCTGTATCTTTTTCAGTCTCATCCTCAACAATCTCTACTTCCTCTTCCTCCTCAGCATCTGTCTTACTATTTGCCACCATTTCTTCTTTTACATCCTCACCTTCTTCATTTTCCACCTGTTCTTCACCAGAATCTCTTTTGTCATTTGCTTCCTCTTCATTTGGATCTCTTGTCTCAGAGTTTACAAAGTCTACATCTTTGATGTTTTCTGCATTTTTGCCTTCATCTACTGTATTGACAACACCGTCTGGCTCTTGATCTGCCGACTCAAATTTATGGTCTTTAGTATTTTCATTCGCTTCCTCTACCTCTTCATGAACCACTTCTAAGTTGTTCTCTTCTTTCTCAACTGCACAAGTGAAGTTGGTAGAGTGTTGTTCTTTCATTTTTGGTTCTGTAGGTTGGGCTGGATCCTTTTTCATTTGCAAAATTTTCCGCAGATCAAATTCCATCATAACTGGAGCCAAACTCAAAGCCTGGGCTCGTTGGTCCGTTCTGGACGTCATCTTCTTTTTCATGCATGCATCACATGGGCAGTACTCATCGTCACTGCGCTGATCGCTGTATTCGGTTCCTGACACAGTGTAATTTTCGTCACTCCTTGACAAGATGGACTTATTGCGCATGACCCGAAGACGCTTGCGTCGCTGCTCAGTCTGGACCGTAGACTCTCTCGATGGAGTATTTCCCGGAGGTCTCGGACCCCTGCCAGCCCGGCTTTGGATTTTTTTCAGTTCTCGGTTAATACTCGATTGGATCCTTTTGTGTACTTCCTCTTTCAGCTCAGTTATCATCTTGTCGAGCATCTCATTGTCATCCAAATCCCACCTCACTTTGAACTCCGCCATGGCATCTGCGTAATGTAACATGAACTGCTTTTCTAGCTTGTTTAATAAGCTCAGCACCCAAACGGGATCTGGGTCTTGTGAAACCCTTTTAGTAAGCGGAGCTCTCTGAACAGACGGTGGAGTTCCTGAGCTTGTATTTTCTTGAGATTTCATAGTATTACTCTCATTCCCAGAGCTCTTGTAAGAGGTTGTTAGTGGCGTTTGATCTGATTCATTCTTATTCTCACTGCTTTCAACATCGTCTTCTTGCAATGCACCATTTTCTTGGTCATCATCCAGTTGTGTATTTACTGGACTCCCCAGGACTCGCTCTGCAGTGTCTGGAGTTACTGGATCTGAGGGGACTTTGGATGGATCTAAACATTCGCATGCTTGAGCTGTAGATTTTACCTGATCTTCTTCATCTTTATCTTGCAGTGAGCCCTCTCGTTTGGCAATTGGTGGTATTGTGCCTTGTACAGTCTCTATTTTTTCTAATATGCCATTCATGCTATCTTTAACGGAGCCGGTGGAGCCGCTGCTAACATCAACCCCAGATGAAGACCGTGGGTTAAATTCATCTTCAGCGGAGGGGTGTTCATTTGCGTTCTGGCTTTTCTGCTCATCCTCAGAGGGCTTTTGGAGCCAGAGCGACTGTAGGAGCATCATAACTTCATTATATTTATGATGCTTTTCATTTTTAGAGTCTGAGTCAATCAATCGTAAGTTTGCAAGGCAGTCCAACAGCCCTTGAGCAGACTGGCTTAATTTTCTGCCATATACAGGGGAGACCCCAGGTAAACTATTGGATCGGTCTAGTTTTGGACCCAGTAAAACCTTCATGACCTGAACCGAAGAATGATGTTGCTTTTGCAAACTGTCTTGTTTAATTAATGCTTTGGGGTTGGGATCTATAGTACTTACTTCCAATTGTGCTCTTTCGTCGCACAACTCTGTCTCAACACAAATGTCATTAGTCTCCTGCTGAATAGGATTCTCACCTGCTTGATCATCGTGAGGTTTCTCAACCTCTATTATGCTTTCTGGTGCCTCAACTTTGTCTCTTTGAGAAGTGTCCTCACCACCTTGAGTCAAGGTCATATCTTCAGTGAGTTCGACATCCATTTCATAAACATGGCCATCAATGGGAATGTTCCTAAGCCAGTCATTCACAATTTCTGTAGGGGAAGCGTTCGGTAAGCATGACGGCATCAGCTCCTTGTTGTTGCACTCCGATGAGATGCTGACTTTGCTGTGTTTGCTCCTGCTGCTTTTCTGGCTTTTATTTTCTACCTTGTCGATATTTTTGCTGGAGGCAACTGACTTTGATCCTCTGCTGACTGGTCTTGCATTGCCGACAATCTCTTTTAACAGATCTGCTGCTGAAAGTGCCCGAGATAAAACACTGTCACTTGAGGAACCAGGGTGCTTGAATAATGCTTTATTCTTGTTTGGGATCTCTTGTGCTAGACTTACACAATTTTGGGAAATATTAGACATCCCTGCTGAATTTCGCCTGGATGCATCATTTTTCATAGATCTTCTGTCTGATGCGGATGACAAGGCACCATCATTGTCTCCATTATATTTTATATTCAGTCCATTTATTTCCAAACACTGGGAAGAACATTTAGATCTTTTACATTTAGATCTATCACTCTTTTTAGCACTGTGCCCATTTTTGAACTTCACCGAATGCTCAGATGTTTTTGAAGAGTTTAAACGGTCACTTTCTGGCATAGCTTTTTCAGAGGTTCTTTCACTTTGGTCATGTTTTGAAGATGTTTCATTCATTTCTGCATGGTTGGTGTTGTTGACAGCTTCACAATCTCTGTCTTTCCTAGCTGTATTTTTAGCACTTCCCTGTGAAACTCTCGAGGGTGACTTACTTCGTGAAGACGACAGTGACAAAGTGGAGGGCACTCTGATATTGTTTTCATTTAACTGGCTTCCCGACATGCTTTTCTTGAGTTCTGCTGACATGATGCTTTCAGCTGAGACAGGTGAGAGAGCTTGAACAGGAGTCTTACAGTTCTTGTGATGGGACTTTTTGGATTTGTCTGAAATTGCAGAGTTCATAGACGTTTCTGTCCTTGGCCTTTCCTCTGCATCCACTCCATTTACATTCTCTAACTGGTGTCCAGCTTCCTCTGTGGTGGCTGACATGCCACTGGTTGATCGTTCATCAAAGTCATCACCATTGTGCTCTTCTCCTAGTCCAAGAGAAACGGATGCTGTTGATGTAGGACTTAGAGGTTCATCAAACTGGTTGCCTGCAGACTTAATGTTATCTATAAGAGATTTAGCTGACAGTTTTGATTTTCCTGACAAGCTCTCAGATTCATCTTTGGTATCCTCTTTTAGCATCTTAGTCTTTTTCTCTCTCAAATTACCACTTGAGGAGTTGAGACAATGACATTTACTGGATCTTTGGGATTGTGAGGATACATTAGAGCTTACTGACATCCCACTTGGAGCTCTGCTCTCAGTTTTCTTAATTTCAGTGTTGTGGGTTGATATAGGAGATGGAGACCTCTTTGACCTAGGAGATGGGGACCTCTTTGACCTAGGCAATGGAGAGGTCACAGTTAAGGCATTCTGTGTCATGTCTTTGCCATTCTCCACTTCCTGAGATACAATGCTCTGTGCAGTGGATTTGACAGATCTTTCAAAGCAGGCATTAGACTTTTCTGAGGTCTGAGACATTGCGCTGGTGGCCCTGTTTGACTCATTTTTTGGAGTTGCACATTCATTAGGTGTTGTATCAATTGGTTCTGAGGAAACTGTGGTTTCTGGAACATTGTGGTTTGATTTGCGGCACCTACAAGATCCTTTAGATGTGTTTGTTTTAACAGACATTGCACTAGGAACTCTTTCCTTAGATTTAGACTCTGCGTGTGAATTCTTTGAGGATGCATGTGACTTCACAGATATTTTGGAGCAGTTGGACAGTGGACTGCATAGTCTTCCTTCAGTGATTACCTCAGTTTCCGGCTCACACTGAACATCAGGACTGCTGGCATTTTGAGTGGCCTTTTCTTGTAAGTCGCAACAAGATTTGACAGACTTAGTTGTTTGCTCTGATGCATGTGACGGATGTTCAGAAGTTCGGTTTGATTTATTAGACATGGCACTAGCTGATCTCACTTCTTGAGGAAACTCTGTGTCTTGTCCACAATGATTATCTGTTGTAGTATGACTCTGAGTAGCAGCACTTTCTGATATATCACCCTGAGAATTAAATAAGTTTGATGGCACTTCCTCTAAATCATTTGGACTACAAGATCTAGGCATTTTAGCATTCTCTGAATGTTGAGACTTTGATTTGTGGGATGTCCTCGATGCAGCTGATAAATTTGAACGGGCTGACATTGGGCTGACAGCTCTTTCTTGGCTTTTTTCTTCAGCTTTATCCATTTCCAAGGCTGGTGTGGGCTCTCTCTCTGAAACAATGCAGTCTGACCCGACTGACCTTACTGGTGTGGCACTTTTGGTTCTTTCTTCAACACTTTCTGCTTCATTATGTTCAGATTTTGATGATTTCCCAACAGAACACATTTCATGTGCAGAGCAGTTGGATTTTTTTGAGAGTTTTGAAGTAAAAGAGGCATTTGAATTTTTAGACAGTGCAGACTCAGAGCGTTCACGAGTGGCTTCCCCTTCTGACATATTATTAACTGGTTCACAGTTTTCATGAGCATTTGAAGTGGATGCAGCAGATTTGTTTGACTTTGACATTATGGAATCAGCTTTCTCTGCTTCGCTCCCCTCTGGATTCCCATTAAATCTTTTATGCTCACCACAGCATGAACATACACCAGACTCGCCAGATGGTTTCGACACACCTGATGTGGCACTTAAAGATCTGTTTGCAGCATCTTCGTCACATATCTTCAGAGCATCGGATGCATCGGATCCAGGGGTGTTTGCTTGACCTCTAGATTTACATGGCGCTTGGCTATGTCTGGAATTTGTATTACAAGCCCCTCCCTCAGGCCCGTGCTGCCTACCAGATGCAACTGAACTTGGGGTTATGTTTCCACACTGACAAGGATGTGACCTGGAGGACACTTTTGAAATCGGAGATGTCATACTCATCCCATCTGGCTCTGCTGGTGCTGCAAAAGTGGTTTTATACTTTTTGAGCTTAAGTGAGTGAACAGCACTGCTTGATTCTTTACTTGGAGGTCTGGGGGACAAATAAGATGTTGGTGAAGACTGGTAGACACAACAATGAACACATTTGGGTTGAGCATCACTCTCAAGATGGTCACTTTGAGACCAGTGTGATGCTCTTGAGACGCTTGGAGGCAGATCATCATAATCATCATCCTGATCTTCCCTCGGAGAGATTTTAGGTTCCATATGAGAATATTTAGTTTTAGCGTGACTCTCACAGTCGTCCTCACAAGATCTCTTGCTCTTTGACATGACGCCAACAGATGATACTTCACCTCGATTGCAGCAACTACTTATTGCACAGTATTCTACTCTAGTGTCTCCTTCCTCCATTGTCTGCTGAACGCACAAGGCCTTTTCCACCACATGCTCAGTGTACTCGCCGCTGGAACAAGAAATTGTGCGTGTACTATCCACTGATGACTTTTTGTGTACAACTTTGTGAGACGATGCACTGGAACTAGGTGATTTACAGGCCCTCGGTTCTTTGTGCATGGGGTTTTTCCAGATGTCGTACTCTTGGCAGTGACTGCAACAGTTCTGACCAAGTGTTTCCTCGATATGCTTCTGATGCAGCTTTGTTGCAAAGGCTTCATCAGTCTCTGATGCAAATATGGAGTCTGGGTCTGAAAACTCAGCTTTAGATTGAAGATAATCTGCATCTTTCACAGAGCCAGAGTCGTTCACTTTCACTGATGACTTCTTGATCTCGGTGGACCACTGAAGAGTCTCATCGTTGTACAGCCGAAAGCGAACCTTCATCTCCACAGAAACGCTGCCGTCTTTGTTAACAAGCACTCTTTTCTCAATGTCATCGTTCACTACAACTTCTTTAACATAAGGACAGTTGCTGATGCAACCGGACTGTCCTGGTGTCACGCATATTCCATTTTGATAGGACTTTTCTGAAGAAAGAGAGAATCTTGTAGATCTATTACTGGAGTCTGATCGTGGATGGATAATGCTTTTCTTTGTCTCCAGGCCAAAGTTAACTGTTAAAACAAAATCATAAAAAACAGATATATAATTTTATTAAGGATAATAACATATTTTCAACATGCAAACAACATTTGAAAGAGGCTCTTGATTCACCAACCCCTACAATAAATTAACTGCATTTGAGTTGGTGGTAAATGGTTGTTTCATCTTCAGTCTATTATTAGAGACACGTGGGTTGGGTAGATGGTTAGTTAATCACTATAATGACTCACCTAAAACAAATGAATGTAAACGGTACTTAACTTGAAGTGTGTACACAATAAAAGAAAACATTTACCATTCTTTTTGCTTTCATGGCCTTCACTGCAGACACTGGAGTGAGACCTTGTGCCCATTCCTGGAAGCTTTTCGTCTGAGAGCTTCTTCAAGCTTTCCATGAGCAGCGGCCTGAAGGGCTCTCGACCCACACAGACCAGCACATTAGGACACTGCATCAGACTCTGAATATTGCCAATCTAAGGAGAGCAGTGAATAAACATAAGACAAAAGTCATATAACATGTCAAATCCAGTCAGAGATAAAAACGTTTAACATCAAACCTTTTAACAACATCCTGACTATAATGTAACCTCATAATTGACTGATTTAAAACGCTTAACCTGGTTGCACTAATGGACACATTTTAGCATTGAGAACCCCTAAATCATCAAAACTCAAACATAATGGTTTGCTGCAATGTAGGGTGAATTCAGGTAAATTGGGCCACCTTTTATCACCGAGATGACTGGATAAAAATGGCTCAATGATCCTGAATTAACCTTAAATATGTAAATCAATTAATTAAACACAGATTTTACATAGTATTTAAAGAACTAGTTCAACCAGTAATGAGAATTCAGGCATCATGTACTCATCTTCTTGATATTTTCTTCAAATGACTTACATGGACCATAAAAGGAGATATTCAGCAGAATGCTCTTTTCTATACTAAGAAAGCATTGCATGCTGTCAAATTCCAAAATGAACAAAAAATACATAATATTTGTTATAAAAATGTGTTATTCACAAATCTTGAATCAAATCTTGCCCAATAGTGATCAAATAGTGCATGCACAGATTCGAACGTTTGGTTATGAGATACGCAGCAATCATTGGCAATTGGTGTTGTTGTTTGCAAATCCTGAAAATTTACATGCATGAAGGAAATTTTAGAGCAATGGTGGAGGGCAAGTATATTTGAGTAAAGAAGTGACTTTTTATAACAAATTTTACTCGGTTCCTACAAATACAAATCATATGGATAATTTTTATGGTGCTTTTTGGTCCATACTTAAATTTCTCCTTTTGTGTTTTACAGAAGGAAAATCGTATGTGTTGGGAATAACATGAGGGTGAATTAAGGTTTTATTTTGGGGGGTGAACCATCTCTTTAAGATGCATATTAGATTAGTAGCTAGCACAACTATTTTCCCAGGGCCTTCAGCTCTGTCCTGAACTGACATCTGCTTCCTAAAATACTTGACCTGGCAAATTAAAGAATGGTTGAAGAAATGAAATCCTCCCTGACCTTACATCCCTCCAGAGTGTAGAGTTTCTTGACATGACACTGCATGAGTTCTGAAATCTCGTCCATGAAGACGCGAAGACTCCGAGCGGTTCGTCTGCTCAGAATGATGGATCGCCTAACAGTAGGGTCATTGTTTTTTACCAGAACAATCCTTTTGGGGTGCCGATGGTGGTGCTGATGTCCTGAGGGGGGCTCCTCAGGTCGGGAGGGCTTGCGGCGAGGGTTATGCGCGTGACTGTGATGGTGCCAGACCGCCGGCCTCTTCCCTGCAGCTTCCATGTTGATTGGCTTAACGTAGCGGCGGTCAGAGCACAGGTAACAGCCTCCGTCCTCTAACTGCTCTAAATGTTTAATGCTGTGGGTCCCCCTGGGGGTCGTGATGGTACGCACACCAAAAGGTAGAGGAACCTTTTGGGAAAGGTCATCCAATAGGGCATCAAAGCATCTGAAGCTGCGCTTATGGATGGCCATCTTGATGCCTTTGAACTGAGCGTCGCCACTCTTGTAGAAGTTAATTCTCTTGGCTGGGCTGGCCGCAGTCACGCTGGAGCCAAAGGACGATGCTGGAGGATGAGGAAACTGATGAGGTTCATTCTGAAAATGGGTATTGGCATCGAAGGAGCCTTGGGTCGTCCTCTGCATCTTTCCTCCACGTCAATTCAAGCTGCGGAGGGAAGTTTGGAAATGTGAATGACATTGAAACTCACAATCAACACAGATTTCAAAATTCAAACCCAGAAACAATCTTCATAAAATATGAATTTACAAAGAAATTACATTAAATGGAGACTCTAGTAATGAGTCTGCTGTAGTTTAATTGCCCTCAAATCTGCCAAGAAACCACAGTCTGTATTGTAATCAGAATACTATCATCAAAACTCATCAAACTCTTCTAAGATCAAATCATCTGCCATCCATATTCATTTCATAGCGTCATAGTTTCACAGTTGTTTCTATATTTATTTCTGCTAATTCTGACAATTGAGATTGAGATCTCCGAGCCTCGTGTTGGAGCAACCCTGAAAAATATTTTCTCATAGGAACAGAACACCAAGATTAAGCCTCAAACATGTCAGGTAACTCAAGCTAAGACAGGTATTAAGTCTTCAAACTCTCAATCAAAGATATAGAAATATCACTATTTGATCATTTAATTAGATATAACCAGAGGTGGAAAAACATATAGATACAACATTTATGTTATGAATGTCTCTGACGTGCATCCTTATACTGATGGGAGTACCATGGTACTGTATGAGTGGCATATTCATACAGTGAACAATGGTATTGACATGGTACTCCAAAGAACATCATGGTATTACAGAAAACAGATATTGTGATGAAAACTGCAATCATACCAACTTTTCAGTGTACTTGTATTATACTGCCATTTAAATGTGTAAGCAACCCAGTCCAGAGATTAATCTCATGCTCTTCGGGAAACAATTACAGACTAGTTTAAATTGCATTTAGTTCTTAGTCCTTAATAGGCACTTTAATCTAACATTTAAAGAAGTTCAAGAGCATGATCTCTGAGCAAAGTTTGCAAATGAAATAATTTTATGTGTATTAAACTGAGACTAAAGTTGTTTTTCTTACAATCAGATACCTTATGAAAAAATAAGGTAGTTGAATTTAAATACAAAATGCACAAAATCATTTCATGACAGTCCAAACTGAATGAAATTACATAGTGTATCTTGACATATGCAATGTTCTAATTCTATTTGTATAAAATTTAAATAAACAATCCATATTTGACCACAAAAGCCTACTGCATCAAGCATGTTTTCACTGAACAATTCGCCTTGTGAATAATAAAAAAAATTTGTTTAAACAATTAAAATAGCATTATTTCAGCAGTATCTCAGCTCAATATAAAAACAACAGTATATAAAGTATATATAATATAAACAACATACTTACGTTTACAGAATACATTATCATATCTGATGCTAAAAAAAAAAAAAGTACAACTGTACAAAATGTGAAAAAGAAAAAAAAATCGGACTATACAGAGCAATGTTCCAGGCAGCATCCAAGCACACAAATGCTGCAGGGAAGCAAGTTCACAAGCCCTCCCACAAACAGTCTGGCCACTAATCAGAGCCTTTGGCGGCTAAGGATAGAACAAAAAGCTTCTTTAATCATCTTGAGATTTGACTGAACTCTAGGGAAGCGTTAGACACATGACAGCGACACCAGGATTGCATGAACAGAGCTGCGCAGAGCTACGAGACGTCTGCTTTCTGACCCCTGATGACAGGCTGGTTTGTGTATATTCTACAAACATGTCATTGAAACAGTGATGCACCAAACACACAGACTGAAAATACACTTGCTGTCAAATTCACTCCAGTTCTCTAATGCTTGTATCTGGGTCCCCATATAGTATATATAGTATATTCTTTATTTTTTTCACAGACATACAGTAGACTCATGTAAAGCAATATATAAATACTATATGGCTAATCTCAACTGCTTGAGTGTTTGTATCATCTCAAATTGTAACTATATTGTCACTCAGCTCTTTATATAAAGTTGGATATATCATATATGTCTTTATCTTTATAAAATTTTATCCACATACATACAATATAGTCATGTAAAGCAATATATAAACACTGTATAGCAAATCTCAACTGCTTGACTGTTTATATCTCTGCAAAATGCAACACCCAGCTCTGCTAAATGTGACTATAAGGCATGATGATATTTTAAACATTATCATCATGATGCTTTGGGATTATGTATTGTTAAAAGCACTATACAAATAAATTTGACATGACCTTGAAAACTTGTCCAGGTCACAAAATATAAAAAATTATGTGATGTAATTTAATAATTATAAAACAATTACATAATTTCATAACTAAATTAGATGTATATATTATATTATATTAATTTATATTTTCATATTATAACAAATATTATTATATTTTTATTTTTTCCATTATTTTTGGGGGTGAAATATAATTCTGATGTTTTCATGGCATGCTCTTTGAAATTCACTCAGATATGACGTACATGTCATAACTTAAATATAGTATTAGTATCTGTAATTACAACATTAGAAGACTTGAACTGTTCATAGAAAAATGTATTTAATAGTGAATATTTTCTGTGAACCTTCCTTACTGGAAAGTCATTGTCTCTATAATATCTGCCTGGTACTTCATTCGTATTGATTTATATGCAGTTTCTAAGGGCACCTTGAGATGAAAGTGAACGTGAACAGGGCCTTCAGTGAATGGCTGCTTATTCTCTCTGAATCCTGCAGTGCCATATTGTTACCTTACACTTTTCAATTAAAACAAGTGAGTATTTCATGAATTTTTTTTTATTTGTACACTGAAAAAATTGGCGGAGAAGCAATTTTAACTCAGTAATTGATGGTAAATTTTACATAAACTTGTGATAACACTGACTGTTGCTCGCTCTAGTACTGTACTGCCAAAGTACAGGCTTACTGTAATCTCAGGAAAAGACAGCACATCCTCGTACTCTTAACTGACCCACTATTAACCACTAGCTGAAGGAACATTAATACGGATGCTTGTAGGTTCTGTGTTTAATCCCATTCTTTTAATGGCACACCAAGCACAAACCCCATTTAATTAGAAATAATTAATTACTAAACATCTCTGAGAGGTGTACATATATTTGACACTAATTATAAATCTCTAAAGGCTGAATTAACAGTTGAAAGTGCTACACATGATTTCCACAATTAGTAACTGAGATCTTGGCAGCCCACTGGGAGAAACCTGCAACACAACACTGTCAGATCACTGAGACTGAGGGAAGATTGTTTGAGACTCATGGGATACGTGTGAGAAGAGGTAGGAGACTCGCAACAGCTTTAACAGCTCTGAAATACAAATATACATCTGTTCAGTATGGAAGCCTGTGTCAGCCACAGAATAAAAAAAAAGGTAATTGTGACTTTTTCTCTTGTAATTTCAACTTTTTTCAAGATTATATTTTACAGTTTTGACTTCTTATCTCAGAACTATGAGAATAAAACTCAAAATTGTGAGATATAAAGTTGCAATTATAAGAAGTAAGTCTGAATTGCGAGATATAAAATCAGAGCTGCAAAATATAAACTCAGAATTGTGTCAGAATTGCGAGGAATAAACTCAGAATTCTGAGATAAAGTTGCAATTCTAAGAAAAAAGTGAATTATGAGATAAACTCATAATTGCATGATATAAAGTAACAGTTTTAATTAAAAAAAAGTTTGAATTGTGAGATATAAAATTGGAGATGCAAAATATAAACTCAGAATTGTGAGGAATAAACTCGCAATTCTAAGAAAATAGTCTGAATTGTGATATAGCCTAAACTCAGAAATGTGAGATATAAAGTTGCTATTTTAAGAAAAAAATTATTTGTGAGATAAAAACAGAATTGTGAGATATAAACTCAAATTCTAAGAAAAAGTCTGAATTGAGAGATACATTCAGAATTGTGAGATATAAAGTTGCTATTTAAAAACAAAGTCTGAATTTTGAGATATAAAATTAGAATGGCTCGTGATTCTGAGAAAAACAAATTGTGAGATATACCGGTAATATATATAATATATACTCAGAATTGTGACAAACTCAAAGTCAGAATTGCGAGATAGTCGAAATTCTGAGAAAAAAGTCTGAATTGCGAGATATAAAATCAGAGTTGCAAAATATAAACTCAGTATTGTGAGATATAAATTCAAATTCTGAGAATAAAAGTCAAAATTGTGAGGAATAAACTATAAGATAAGATAAGAAAAAAGTGAATTATGAGATAAACTCATAATTGCATGATATAGAGTCACAGTTTTAATAAAAAAAAATCTGAATGATATAAAATTGGAGTTGCAAAATATAAACTCAGAATTGTGATGAATAAACTTGCAATTCTAAGAAAAGTCTGAATTGTGATATAGCCTAAACTCAGAATTGTGACAAACTCAAAGTCAGAATTGCGAGTCGAAATTCTGAGAAAAAAGTCTGAATTGCGAAATATAAACAAAGAATTGCAAAATATAAACTCAGAATTGTGAGATATAAACTCGCAGTTCTAAGAAAAACTGAGATACAAAATCAGAATTGCAATATAAACTCAAACTCTAAGAAAAAAGTCTGAACTGAAGATAAAAAAAGTTGCAATTACCTTCATTATTATTATTATTATTATTATTATTATTATTATTATTATTATTATCACCATCATCATCCAAGGGGCTATTTCATAAAACAAGTTTACCAAGTTTACCAGGCTTATTTCAGTTAGTCTGACTTATTTTGAACCAAATCAGCTGACAATAAGTCAGACTAACTGAAATAAACCTGGCCTATTTGGTAAACTTTTTTATGAAACAGGCCCCTGGTTTAAACCAGAACCCTTTATTTCCCATTAGACAATATAAAAATGCACTTTCAATAAACAACACAGTTGTTTCACTTTTTTGCAGTGTGCAGTAAATCACTGAGACCTCTTTCTAATGGTGTCTGGCTGAATAATAGGCCACTTACGTGCGTCCATGTGTGGCTAAAACCTGTAGCGCAGAGCTGAAGCACAGATCTGCAGGTTTACACGTGTTCCACTGACCAGATAGCTTCTCAGCACACTGCATAAATCACACGGGACAGTGAACGATTGGATTTGCCTGCACATTTCCCAGGACCATCCCAGACTAAATGAAATAAACCTGGCTTATTTGGTAAACTTGTTTCATGAAACAGGCCCCAGGTAGAAACAAGCTTCCATTGTTTGAAAATAAAAAAGAATAATTAGCATAGCACTTAAAAAAAGTGTCAAATGATTTCCATAATGCTGACTATCCAATGCTGACCAAGATCATTAATGCTTACTTAATGCACTTAACAGCACCCATGTTAGTCAGAGCTGCTAGATATTAGTCACGTTTGAACAGAAAAAAACCCATGTCCTTGAAAATGTTTTGTCTGTTTTTCAAGTGAGGCGTGAAAGTCTGAAATGAGAACTGTAAAATATGAAAACAAGAAATGCTTTAAAATGCTAGAGACAAAGACAACAAACCTCACATGATTTGTAACACTGCTAAGTTTGACATTCAAAGAATATATCTGTTCATCTGGCAGTACTCAACATCATTACAGAAACCAATAATTATTTCATAAAGAAAACAGTTGCATTGACAGCTCTCACACAAATAAATACTTTAGCCTGTAATCTATATTCACATTCTTTCATTTTAGCTTTGATCTGTTACTTAACCAATGCACAGACTACATATTCCACTAAAAACAATTGAAAAACAGGCCTTTTTATTAGCCAAACAGAACCATCTTGATGCTCTGTCCTAATTCCACACACCAGCTTACCCTGCAGGCACAGATTCATTCTCCTCGGCTGCCAAATCCTCCAACACCAAACCTCCAAACTTTGACAATATTTCTGATGTAATCCAGTTAGAGAATCCAACAGGTTTTCTCACAATAAGCAGCGCTCCTTCCTCCGGACGAAACAGACACAGTGTTTGAAATCATGGCGTTGCCTCCTGTGAGGAGTGTCACTTTCCACCCACGATGATGAGCCACGGATGTGCCACAGCTGCATATTGTCTTTCCACACTCATTCATTCCATTAGGCTAATTATCACAGGCAGACCTTCATCCAGAGAGGAGGAGGAGGAGGAGGAGGAGAAGAAGTGGGACTCCTCTGAAAGAGGATTATACTGTGTGACCATCTGTGCCAGAGCGATTTAACTCTTAGATCTCCAAAAGCAACCTGTTGTACTTGATTTAGGCATAAAAAACACAAAAAGAAAACTATAAACCAACAAAAAGTTATACTGCGTATATGTAGACCTACGTTATGTTAGTCATTTTTCTTAATATTATGAAACCAGATCTAATATTATTATCAAACAATTATTATGGGGGCAAATATAGTATGCAATTTACGCAATTCTTCATATTATAATCAAACCAAATATTGTTCTTAGCATAATATCAAATAATATTATGATTAATTACAATAACTATTATTCATTATTAAGATTATATATAATAAAATATGAATAAAATTATTACACATTAATAAAATAGCGTTGGAAATGTACTTTATTATTAAAATAAAATAACATTATTATTATTGTGATTTTTATTATTAATTTAAATGATAGAGAGAGACACTTTTATACTATATTTATACAGAGAGAGAGAAAAAGAGAGAGAGAATTAAATATTAAAATTTAAGAATTAAATATTAATATTAAGCACAATAATATCCTTAAAGGGTTACTCCACCCCAAAATGAAAATTATAAAACGGAGAGTTCCGGTCCTTGATTCTGATTGGTTGAGCCAAGTTCGAAAGCTGTTGTAAATTACTCTACAAACACACACCTTTGTTTACATTTTTGTGTTGCTCAGCAACCACTTTGTTGGAACCACAACTGTTTCTGAGGAACTACATTGTTTAGCGGAAGAATAATGTTTTTATTAATATCATTACACTTTATTTGCTCTGTTTTATTTTGTGAAACCTTACTACGTATATGGAATAACAGTTTTATAAAAGCAATAAGCCCCGTGAAGCCGTGGTTTACAGTGAATTTATAACAGCTAAGGGGGTTGTGCACTCTGCTTAGCGTCGTACCTAACAACGCCCGTTAGCCGTTATAAATTCACTGTAAACCACGGCTTCCTGGGGCTTATTGCTTTATTTTGTCATTAATTACTCACCCTGATGTCGTTCTAAACCCGTAAGACCTCCAGTCATTTTCGGAACACAAATTAAGATATTTTTGATGCATTTTGAGAGCTCTCTGACCCTCCATAGACAGCAATGTAAGTAACACGATCAAGGTCCAGAAACGTAGCAAGGAAATCGGTAAAATAATCCATGTGACATCAGGGGTTCAACTGTAATTTTACAAAGCTACGAGAATACGTTTTGTACGCAAAGAAAACAAAAATAACGACTTTATTCAACAATTCGTCTCCTCCGCGTCACCGTAGCGCCATTTTGGAGAGTATCCACTGAACCTAAACCGTATGCTGTTCTGCGTCAGCCGTACCACACGGATACGTATTCTACATTTATTTACGCTTTGATTTGAACGAAAACAACGTATCCGTGTGGTGCGGCTGACACAGAACAGCATACGCTGTTTACGTTCAGTGGATACTCTCCAAACTGATCATATATTTTGTTAATATATATAAATATATAGGGATTAGGGCTGTCATCGTTAACGTGTTAAAGCATGCGATTAATTTTACAATCCTTAACGCGTTAAAATAATTTAACGCAATTAAAGCA